ACCTCCTTCCTCTCCTTGCCTATTCTTTCTACCATTCCAAGGCCTCTTTTTCCAAGTGTTTCCTTGTAGTACATGGTCACTAAAGTACCTGCCAAGGAAAAGGTGATGAATATTACGCATAAAAAAAGAGTCAAAGGCATACCTGTCATCATGTATAATCACCCCGGGCAGATTTTCAAGGCATTTTTTGGTGAAGGTTATCCCCGGTTTGTCCAAGTCGTCCGTAACGGAGAGACAATTATCAAGTCTAACTAGCTTTGCATTCGGCCCCAAGTCATTCCAATGAGCTGTGTGTAGGTTGGGTGGCTGCCCCTCTATAAAGTCCACTTTGATCACAACATCATCATAATAACTCTCACGGATGTCATTAATGATTATGACCTCCAAGTCGTTAACTTCATCTTTCTCAACTTCCTTGTCATGGTCTATACCTTTGGGAGGTGTTTCATGGTCCATGCCGTTAGGAGATGTGGGCTGCCTATCCTTCACAACCCCTTCCAGTAGCTCCTTATTCTCCCCAAGTGGTTCATCTTGGTTGCTTGGAATGATAGCCACGGCAAGGGGGTTTTCATCAAGGATAGTGGTTTCCTCTTCAATGATTTCCCCCTCCTCTCTATCACGTGGTTTGTTTTCAACAGCTTGTTGTTGGTTGTTGGCAGCTTTGGGTCTATCATGAACTTCATCATAGCATCTATTCTTTGCTTTGATTGAGTATATTTGCCTTCTATGCTCTTCTACTTGATACAAGGATAGTTTGTTCGGTTCCTTTGGGGGTTCTTTCTCTTCCTTTTCCTTTCTCTCCATTTCATGAAGGATTCTACATGTAAATGGGTGGTGGCCGAAAGCTTTGCAATGAAAACAATAATTGGGATATGTTTCATAGACAACACTTTGGCTATAGATCATTCCCGAGGGGAGCTTCACATCAAATTGGAGTGGGGGAGGTTTGGCCGCATCTACCTCAATCAAGACTCTAGCATAGGATGATCTAGCTTTGTCTTGAGTGACCTTGTCCGTGGCAAGAGGCTTACCCACTCTAGAAGCTACGATACTAATGATGTCTTCTCTCCATGCTCGCATAGGTAATCCATAAAGCTTGACCCAAATTGGGACTTTAAGGAATTCATCACTTGTGGTAGAGAAGTCATCATCAAGAACTTTCAAATAGCACATCTTACCGTATATGGAGTGTGGTCCATCTAGGAGGACTTGATCTCTATCTGCTTCCCTTTGGAATTTAAAGATTATCCATTCTTTGCTATGAGGTCTAGCTTTGCAAGGAACTCCCCACTTATGTATCATGGCATTAACGGCTTTAGGCCCGGGGAAGGTTCCAACAAAGTAGCCTACCAAACAATGTCCCCAAAGTTCCACCATTGAGGGGAGAGTGTAGCTAGAAAGATCAACCATGTCACTCGTGGGGGGATGTAAGTAAGTTTCATGCCTTGAGAGGGTTCACGGTTGTTTGCAAATAGGGATTTTCACAGTTTAATGGAAGTAGAAGCCTCCTCTACTTTGTCCTTTCCTTTGTTAGAACGGCCAAGAGCTTTGAGGTAGATCTCATTCACATCATCCTCCTTTTCCTTCTTGTTGTCCAATGCCGCGACATCCTCCTTGTTGCCCATTGTCGCGGCATCCGTCGGTTGCATTGACTCCAAGGTTATCTCATTTTGCACTTCCATAGTTTGTAAAGCCTCGGGTCCCTCCACTTGTACAGCTGCAGCATCTATGTCTATTGTCTCAATGATCTCCGTAGCTTGGTTCTCAATATTCTCCCCATTCAAAGTTTCCTCTTCTAGGTTCACCTTTTGAGTTTCATTAGGTGCAACCGTAGGTTCCAACAATTCAGTCACCATAAGTTCCAAGGAGGAAGTAGCTCCAACGGTTTGGTCATTAATGATGTTGGTGTCATTAGTGCCATGAGCCGAATCCTCCATAAGACCCCCCTCCATCCCATGTGATTCAACCATCAAATTAGGAAGTTCAACACTTACCTCCTTGTTGTTGTTAGCTTTCCTAGAAGTTCCTTGCTTTTTCTTCACGGAAATTTCCAAAGGTGGGAAGTCCTCCTCCCCCTCAACAACATCTTCAACCTGGCCATCAATCTTGGTCTTACTCTTCCTAACCGTGGATGAAGTCCCCTCATGAGATTCCTTCTTCGTCTTCGATTTTTCCCACCCCATCTTAGGTGAGCTTGGTGGAGCTTGGACCAGGTTCTTCCTAGTGGTAACCATGGTTTCCTCGGTCAAGGGGTGTAGGAAGAGTCTCGGGAGTGTTTTGAGCAAAGGGAGCCCCAAAACACTAAGCTAAGCCCAAAACAACACCCCCTCTCCAATTTGAGCTTCAAAATCCGTACCAATGGCGGAATGTCCGTACCAACGGTCACAAGGGACGTTGTACGGACACGGCTGATGATGATGAAACAACAGACGAAGGAGCGCAAGAGGACCACGAGCTTCACCCTATATCCAGATTTTCCATATCACAAAAGGAGCTACAAGGATCTAGGAAAAGTTTTACGACTGTGAATAGTGAAATTCGGAAACCAGTTCAGGAAATCCAGCTAAAACCGAGCTAAGAGCTAAGATATTTGGAGTATAACCCCTCTAGACAGCGTAGAAGAAGTGATACAACTAATATCCAAGCTCAAAGATCAAGAATCAGCCAAGAAATCAAGAAGATGATGAGGAAACGGAATTGCGCACAAGGGGTGTACGGAATTCGTAGAGAGAAGGACGAGCGAAATTTTCTCAGCCGCGGGTTTCAAAAAACAATATTCCTAGAACTATCAATCCACCAGAAGAATGAATGTATTCCTTTTTGGCATTTATTGATTTAGTGTAATTCATTCCATTATGAAAGATTACATCTGCTCTTAGAGCAGAACCAACACATAATATACAGAGCTGTTAGAAACTCAAAGCATAATAGAAAAATCAGGGTTGGCAATATCAAGCAGACATTAAGCATCAACTAAAACTAATGTTGAAAGGTGAACTAACCAAATCAACTAATCTATTCTTAAAGTATGTAGGGTATGCAAGAGAAGCAAAGTAAGGTACATAGTAGGCAAAATAATAAGAGTACATCATCATCGATTAGAACCATTTCAATTGATCATATATGTCCTGGACGAATTTCCCTGAACAATCCACCATTAAACTAACGCCATTAGAATCTTCAAAATTTTGATATAGCAGATAGAAGTGTATGAAAAATATTTACATAAATAGGCAATATATTCCGGTGTGATATTCCATTACTTAATTGGATTATAAATCGTGATCATTGCAATTTCTTAACTTGATAAAACTTGATAGACTAACCAACTTTTCAAACTCAATGAGTCTCCGACTTCTGGTTCATTAAAACGCACCCTAGTAAATGGTTTCATTTGATTATTCAAAACATATCAGTTCCAGCCTTGAGTTTAAGGATGAAGTTGACCATCAATTTCTCAAAACTAAAGGTTGAAAAGAACTGCATAAAATCTAACAACCAATTTTTTTAACTTTTCACGAAGATTCCCATATTTTCTTAATACGTACGAATCATATCAAACTTATATTACCTTATACTCTCACTCAAGGCTGCTTCATTAACATCCACCTTCACTGCTACAATTGCCATTAGAGTTCCTGGATAGAAGCATTTTGAATGAGATCGACTAAATTTGTTATCGTATGTACTCACCAAAGTATTGGTAAAAATAAACTAAAAAGTACTATTTAGTCCTTCAAGGCATTTAGCATGGCTTGAGATCCAAATAATTTGATTGAATAAGAAACATAAACAAATACTCCTAGCTGGAATGGGCAAAGATAAAGGAACTCATATAATCTTTAAAAGACTTTAAACCTAAAAAATATATGTTCCTGAACCAAATCATATCATTGTATATGTACTCTAATTATACATCAACAATGATACTTAGAAAAAATGAAAAACATGTAACTTACAGTATGCCAAAACTAAATATTTTGAAAGTAAACATCAAATATTGAAAAGTTATAAAATCATTCTCACAATTTTGTATGCTCAGATAAAGAAAGGAAGTAAATCAAGAGATGAAGTAAATTTGAACAATGTTAGGAGTTTGTTTTTTCGTGGCTAAAGTTTGATTCGTATACAATAAAAAAAAAGCTACCCAAATGTTTTCATTTGAATATTCCCAACAGATCAGTTCTAATTCTAAAATTACAACAGATCGATTCTTAACACAGAGATGTTTTTTCGGAGGGAAGTCTCAAGATTTAAGGTTTTTGCTAGAGAAATGCATATGTGTATATATAGATATAGAATACGAAATTTAAGACATATATACTATGGTAGAGATAAATTTGATAAATATCACGCAGTACTTACGAAGAATAAGGAGAGATTGATGTAGCTGGCCGCTGGCGTGTAGAAGGAGGACGCTTTAGGCGGAGGGAACACAGGAGAAGCCGAAACTTCTGAAACATGAGTGGGGAAACGCAGGAATTTCGCAGGGTGGTTGAAAGGATAAGGAAGAATCTAAATTTACAAAAATACCCTAGAACTTAAGCGGGAAGTTCACTTAACTCAATTAATATGTATATATATATATATAGATGAGTACTATTCCGTGTAATTTGCTACTAACCTATATGTTGGTACACATTAAACCATATATCTATCTATGCAATTTGCTCACATACATTTCTTTTCTATTAAAATGAATTATTGTTAGAAAGATCCTAAATTGGTGTATGAAAGAATACGAAGTGTATGCGCCTAAAAGTAATAGGGTGGTTTTAATATTACGCGTTTATTTACCTAAATTTTGTAAATTGATCCACCTTCTTTGCTCTTTGGTCCACCTCATTAATGTTTTGGTCTCCTATTAAATGAGTCTGGCCCATTTGGACTGTCTACCTGATCAAGCCCACTCACCTCCCTTTGTCTTTGCTCAGCCCATGACTCTTGTGGTCCTCTTTTATATTTGTCTGGTTCCTTTTGGAACCCCCTATTTGTTCGACCCTTCTCTCTCTCTCTCTATCAAAATGAGAAGCCTAGAGTGTTATCCTAGTTCTATAGTGAGAGAGTGCTGGTATCACTTTGGGTCTGAGTTCCGACTACCCTCCGGTGATATCCTAGGGATCCTTCTGTGGACTTCACCGTGTTCTGGTAGTTCAGAGGTTCTTCTCTGGTGGGTTCTCTAGGTAGTCTGGTCTGGGCGTTCGGCTCCTAAACTGAGTGTTGATACTGTTGCCCTTTCATCTTCCATATTTTGACTCCTTGGTGGTGAATGATGAGCTAACCCTTGGGATTTGGTGATTGAGGTCTGAGCCGATCCAGTGACATAACAAATTTGTTTGAGTATGTTTTTTTTATAATCCAGGTGTCGGGGTCTTACGCTCCCATAATCCTGGAGTCTATGAACTACCCTCCAAAGCCCCTAGACAGTTAAATCCGAATCTGATCACAGTCAGCCCCGTCAGTACTGGCTCCAAAGGACGAATCCAGCAGGACTTACATCACCTTTCATGCTGCTCCTCCCACCACACGAACCCGCTACCTCCATTGCCATCCTCTCCCTTCTCAGCCGCGACTCCGTGAAGGTAGGAAGAATCATTGGAAGCAAGACCTCTCTCATCTCCCCTTGACGGGGATTGAATCCAAGACCTCCCACAAAGGAGAGACTTGGGGGTGGATGGTCATCCAATGGACTACACCCACCTTTTGAGTATGTCTCAATCTATGATGCGCACACATTCAATCTATGTTTGGCATTCTTCGAATTGGTCAGAAATAGCTAAAATTGATGAGGGTGGGTTGTTAGAGCAAATTTGAGTAAATTCCTATATCAAAACTTCAAATTAAACATGCAATAGTCACTTTCTTTTATCTCCATTCGTTGACTTTGACTTCCTACTCGTCGTTAACTTTAAGACTCAATTCGGAGTATATTATTTGAGCTCAAAATGTCAAAACATATGCTAAATCCATGGTGATGAATGCTGAAAGTCTTTAAATAGTGCGATGACATTTTAAATATCTTGAACGAAAAAAGTAGAATGTTTTTGTAATGTTAATTGTTAGACGACTGCAAAGTACAATACAAGAAATTAATTAAAGCTGGCACTCAAAATTGGAAATATCGATTTTTTTGATAATAAAAAAACAGGAATAATTCAATGTTAATTATTTTTTTGTCTTCCCACGTAGGTGCCTATGTACATTTTGGGTCAGCTGGTTGGTTCAATTCTTGCCAGTGGGACTTTGTATGTGTTACTTGGTGTGAAGAGTGAGGCTTTCTTCGGAACCCTTCCCGCTGGTTCAGACATCCAATCTTTTATTATTGAATTCATAATGTCTTTCCTCTTCATGTTCGTCATCTCTGGTGTTGCTACTGATAACAGAGCTGTGAGTAATTCATATTTTTTGCAAAATGATTTTTTGCTTAACTTGCATGGCACAATCACACATTTTTATGTCACGTCTTTCTGTTTGCCAATGATTTCTTTTTTATTTTCCACATGGATATGACACAAACTTTAAGAGTAGACCTCATATGTTGTTTGTAAAATTAGGAAAAGGCCATTTGTACATTTTTTGTACATATTTGGTGTACACCACCTGTTTGCTTGTGTACACAGGCAGCTCATTTTGAAGCTCCTATGTACTCATGCAACTAGACAGTGTGTACAACAAAAGTGTACAAAAAAAGTGTACAATAGCATGACTTGTAACTTTATAGGTGATAGGTGAAATGATTGATCACATATCTTAATTGGCTCTCAAACCTTATCAAAACTTAGTAGTATAAAGTTTTATCTTAAAAGATACTACCTCCGTCCCATAATTTACTTCCAAAATAAAGTGGCACGCGGATTAAGAAAGTGAGAATTGTGTGGTGGAGAGTTGTGCAGAGGAGAGAGAAATGCTGTGAACCACAAATTCTATGCCAAAAAAGGAAAGGGAAGTTCTTTTTGGGACGGACGAAAAGGGAAAGTTGGAAGTATTTTCAGGGACGGAGGGAGTAAACATGATACGAGGAATCGTTTAATACTTTATTTGTTGGTTTGTACTTTACACTATTTGCGATTAGGTTTTAACGCAATTTAAGTTTAAAGACTAACTCTACTTTCATTCAAGTTTAAAAACCACTAGCTGGTACAACGACTTACCACGCGCAGCAAAAAGTGTTCATATAGTTGTGACCATATATGCATTGGAGAATCTTTACATAAATCCTGTGTAATTTTCTCATTTCCTCATATTCCATGCATGCTAATTTGACTTACTTTTTGTCCTTGTATTGAAAACAAAGATCGGAGAGCTGGCAGGAATTGCTATTGGAATGACAATTCTCATTAGTGTTCTTGTTGCAGGGTATTTTATTTAGTAATTATTTACACTTATTCTTGGTCTTGATTTCATGATGCATGCTAGTAGTGACGGATTTACAATTCAGGTTTTGGGTGTTTATTTTTGTACAATTAAAACTTGAAAGAACAATAAAAAAATTAAATTAAATTTATATATGTATACTAGTATGTTTTTCAAAATTTTAGTTGTTCACTTGAACACCTTTGAACTATGGTGGCTCCGCCAATGCATGTTAGTTCATCTAACTAGAAAAGTATCATAAATGTTGAAATCGACTGACTAATTAAGTAAAATAGATGACCATGTCAATTGGTTCCGCACAAATATTTCTACCCACCTCTAAGTTATATTGTTAAAGTATTTTTCTCACACCACAAAGCTATAAAACAATATAACACTATATACTCCGTAAGATTTTGAGTTAATCCTCTTATCAGGTGGACCTTTTAGGATGAACATCATATCTTAAGAGCTTCTCATACATTATTGTGTACTTTCGCGTGTCTCTTATTATTTTTTTAACTTCCTTTTGTTTTGCATGCAATTCAAACGCAAATAAATGCAGGCCTATTTCTGGAGCATCAATGAACCCAGCAAGAAGTCTCGGGCCTGCAATAGTGATGCATAAGTACAAGAGTATATGGGTTTATATCGTTGGCCCTATAATGGGAACCACAGCTGGTGGGTTCACTTATAACCTCATCAGGTTCACGGAAAAGCCCCTTAGAGAACTCACTAGAAGTGGATCATTCCTAAAAAGCTTATCGAGAAAGGCCAGTACTTCAGCCCACTAGACTTTCTGCCGCCATTATTGAAAGTTGAAACTACAACTTAGAGGTGAGCATAAAAACAGAACCAAACCTGCCTGTAATGGTATTGAACAGAATATTGGATATATTAACGGTTCTATAGATTTGTATCTTGAACCGAAACTTTACCGTTTGAAACGGGTACGGATTCAGTCCTAGATTTTGAGAATCGAAAATTACCGGACAAGACCGTTCATAAATAATGCGTTAGAGTTTTTTACATTTATACTATACGCCTATACCAATAATTTTCTTATTCAGACCAATAGTACTTTAGCTCGAGTATATTCATTCGTCCCTAAAATAGCTAAATGTGTGTTTATAAATTGTTGTTTCCTTTTAGATCATGTATGTTATAATTTGGTATATATCGAAAGATGTTTTCTTTTGGATTATTTTCGGTCCCAACCCAAATCAGACCAAACCAGACTTAAATAGATCAGATCAGACCAGACTTAAACAAACCAGACCAGACAATTACCAGACCAGACTACACCAAACTTAAACAGACCAGACATTATCACCAAATTTCAGTCCAAAAGAACATTCTAAAAATCACTAAAGACTAATAATTTCGAGTTATATGTTGTATTTAAGTGTGTGTTGTATTGTGTTTATGTAGTTTTATAACATAATTAATATGATTTAAATCTTAGTTCCCACGTTACAACTATAAATTAGAACATTCAACCTAGAAAAAAGAAGAAGAATGTTGGATTTTTCAATGATATTCAACAATCTAATGATATTTTTTATGTTATAGCATGAATTAATAAAGATGATATTTATCTGATGTATCATCATTTTATTTTATTTTTTCTTAGTTGGATGTGTTGCACTATTTGGGTATTTGTAAACTTAAAGACAAAAATTTCGGCCTCTTGAATATTTTCTAGCATTTAGTATGCTCTTTCTTAAATTTTTATCCAACTCCTCATGTGAATTGGTTGGTATAATGATATCTACTAATTGCAAAATTTGTCCAAACTTTTTAACATTAGTTTGTCATTGTATCGTATTGTTTTGTACCATTCCGAAATGGTATGGTACCGAACGATTCCGTCCTTAGAACTGAGCCGTATCAAACCGTTACAATATGGATTTTGCTAATTTACCGGATCGTTTCGTACCGCGTCCACCCCTACCGCACCTCAGGAAAAGCAGCGTGGATATGTGCATATAAAGCAAAAAGTTGTTCAATAGTACGAAAAGGAGTATTAAAAAATTGTGAACATTTTGAATTTATTATTGTGAACTCCATCCGTTCATTACATGCGAGACACTTTAAGGGCTTGTTTGGTAGTTTACATGTTAATTTAGTTTTAATTTGCACTTAAAATAGTTTATAAAAAGTGTACTTTTATAAAAAGCATACAAAGTATTTTAGGCCTTTTTATTTCAATATTACTAAAATGAATAAAAAAGACAAAAATATGACCTCTTTTGAATTTTCCCAAAAAAATGACTAAAAGTCATTTATCTTTTTAAATATTTGATTAATAGTCCATATTTTACTGCTATCGGCCCATCTGGGCCGCCACCATTGTCACCGCCGCCACCGTCACCGGCACCACCGCCGCCGGTGTCGCCGCCGCCGCCGTCACTGGCACCACCAGTCCACCACCCCGCCGTCACTATCTCAGTGACTCCGGTCACAGTGACTTCGGCCGTCACAGCGACTCTGCCGTTACAGTGACTCCAACGATGACAGTGACTCCCCCGGCCACCTTGACTCCGGTCACAGTGACTATGCCACAGTGACTGCCGTATACCAGCAAAAATGACTGCTGCCGCACCCGGATCAATGACTGCCACCATTCCACCGGCTAGTGATTGCCATTGCCCCCCGCTAGTGACTGCTGCCGCCACTGTCCAACCATTTCCGTCCTCGGACCAGTGACTGCTGCTCCCCGGGCAATGACTGTCGTCCCTCGGCCAATAAACTGCCAACACCAGCGTCACCACCACTGCTCACCCCACACATCTATGGGTGCACGACCCCCAATGCCCACCCCAACCTGCACAGCCCCTCCCCACCTTACTAGCCCCCTCCCCCACCTTCCTAGCCTCCTCCCCAACTATCTCAGCCCCCTGCGTCGTTGACCCCAACCGGGCAATCACCCAATGCCGCCCAACCTTGTCCTCCTTCAGGCCTCTCCGTCCATTTAACACCACCATGGACTCCGGCGTGAGCAGTTCTCTCCACCAACCCCGTCCCAACCCAGGCCCTACCACCCTTCCCAGCCTCGCCCAGCAAGGACGCACCCCTGCTCCACCCAACAACGTTGCAACACAAGCTCTCAAGCCACGCCCTACAGTCAAGCCTCGCCCCATCAACGAACTCAGATCTAAAAATAAGAAGGAAATCCCCCAAGTTTGTTCTGGAATCGCAGTGATTTGCGGTCAAAAAAGGAGGAGGAGGAGGAGAAGAAGAAGAATAAAGGAAGATCGACGAGTCACATCCCTAACTCGAGGTTCGTCGGCCGTCTTCGGAGAGGCGGACCGGCGGAGATGCAGCAGAGGGACGACGAGGTTCAGGCAGGCGGACCGTTGAAGAGAAGGCGCTATGGCCGTACGGAGGGAAGAGGCGCCTCGACCTTGTGCAGAAATGAAGGACGACCACACCATGGCCGGTGGTTTATGGTGGCAAAGAGAAGTCTCATGTGTGTGTGGGAAGAGAGACGTGCGGAGAGGGAGATGCGTCTGTGGGGAAGGAGATCTGCGTAGAGGAGCGTGAGTCACATTTTTGGAAAAAGAAAACAGGGTTATATTTGTGGAATTTGAAAAGTCAAATGTCATAAACGGGCCATTATTTCAGTATTTTATCATCCTTACCACACGTAAAGTAGTTTACATGGTATAGTGTGAAGTGTTTTAAAACAGTGTCATACAAATTACATTAAAAAATCCAACCAAACAATCAAAACCCTTTTACAACCCGGCATTTTGCATGTGGATTAATTATTTTACCTCGTATCAAACATCCTCTAAGTTAAATCTTGGTGCAAACACCTATTGTCATAATAATTATTATCTCTTTTCCGTTTAAAGGTTCTCATTGCAAAAGCGATATGGTTATTTAAGCAATAATTAAATAGGTAATTCAAGTATATTTTGAGAACTAATTTTGATAGCTATATTTAATATAATGGGGTTTGTCACGTCCTGAACCGCATTCGTACCACATAAACAACCGTCATACAATCCTATAAGAAGAACCACAATTCATCTCCATTGTATCGCACAAGGCATTCGATAGATTCGTGTACTAAAGCGGGATTAAGATGTTTGGTCTTCAACCACAAATGACAAACACTAGCACATAGGCACCCAAAATGTGTTTATAGATAAACAATGTTTAAATATCCACGAGCAACTTCGCAATTTCAAATAAGAACGGGAAATGTATCAAACGTAAGACTTATAAATAGGGTGATATGTATACTTATAGGTGTGTAACTATTTATACCAATCCACAAGATGATACATATTTTATATACTTGTAAAATATTCAACTCGTAGGTCATTTTCCTTAATAAGCCTTTTTGGAGAGGTAAGTCTTTACCTTAGTTTCTCATGCTTTCCCAGAATGTCTAGCTCACAAGATATGTCCTATCGTGTGTTAAAGGTCATTTATCGCACCTAGAGTATTTAGGATCATTTATTGTCCAAGGGTACTCTACCAAACCCGGAGTAGTTATGATCCTTTACAGCCCAATGGTATTGTACCCCAACCAGAAGTATTTAGGATCATTTATAGGGGTGAGAAAATAACTGATATAACCGATGAAACTGACTACCGATAACCGAACCGAACTGAACCAAAAATATTTTTTCCCAGTCGGTTACAGGTTATTATTTATTAAGAAAATCAGTTTTCTGGTTATTCGGTTATTATACAGTTTGAATTCTCTGTTATTGGTCGGTAACCGATAACCGGTATAAAACCTATTAAATCAGTAATAATAATACTTTTTTTTTGGGGGGGGGGGGGTAAACGCCGGGGAACTTGTGTGAGATATGCCCAGATTTCAACAGTCAAATAATCTAATAATAACGGGAAGAATTTAAAACAGTAGAAGAGAAATTTCACCAACAATGTATACTGTGTATATATAATGATGAATTCATGAAGAACAATACACAATACTTGAACGAATAAGCTTGAGAGAGAAATTCTAGTCTACTGGCTGTTAGCCGACTTGTGCTACTCTTAGTTTTTTGATGTTTACAATTAATGAAGCTAACATGTGTGTTGAGATGCTGCGGGTTTACTCTTTCAAGTCAATCCACTAGAAATAGTCTTTCTTGATAGCTAGAAAAGCAGTTTCATCAAGAATTTGTGGATTGCATATTAAAGGCTCTCAAAATCAATTTTATCACTTCAAATATTTTCTTAATAACTAATCAAACATTTTACTTTTGCACGGCAGAATCAAATTCCTATGTTTTCCCAAGCAGTTGAGTGCTTTTTCAAAACAGCTCACTAGTATTTGTTCCTTGAGTTTCTCTTGTTTTGAGTGAACTGTCTTCAAGCTTTTTCTCCATCCTTTTGCTGCAACTTAACCTCAATTTTAAGAGCTCTAAATCCCTCTCAAATGTGTGTTTCTAACGTGGTTAAAGATCTCTTCTAGCTAACTTTTCCGACAGCCAACTGCCGAGCCAACTGCCAAACCAACTGCTCAAGCCTACTTCTACAAGCCAACTCCTCAGCCCTCTGCTCAGCCCTCTGCTCCCAGCTCTCTGCCCTTAGCAACCTGCCTTCTTTGAAAGGTTGTTTTCCTAGAAGTCTTTCCAGACTTCAATCCAAATTGATTCCTAAGTTCAGCGCTACTCTTTCGTTGACTTTTCCAGTAAAGACAAATATTTTATTTTGTCGTCTGGTAAAGACAATTAATTTATTTGGGGACCCAGATCCTTTTCTGAACGTTGGAGCTTCTTTATTAATCTTTCTAGCCGTTGGCACTATCTTCCAAACAAGGAAATCAATCAAATATCAATAATTGATATTATAGCCGTTGAAGCCAATAATTCCGTGATTCTTTCCTTCTAAATCTTTAATTTCAAATCTTCAACGACCAAATCTTTTCTTATATATAATTCGTCTTCTACACGAATCAAAACACGAATTACACACATAAAAATTCCTGACGAACTACTACTCTACACTTTGAATATTCTGCGAAAGAGTTCATTTTGTTCCTCAAGCTTTTCTTAGTCTCTCTATCTTGAATTCTGCTTGTGCTATCACTTTAATATTTATTTGCAGAAACTTACATTGGTTTTAAGATCATCAAA